TTCCAGTCCAGAAGCAGATCACGAAATCACTGTCGTACTTTTGTCTTTTTACACCAACGCTACGCACCAGAAGCAATTTACTCGGACAAAAATAAGTCAGAACAATGTACAGGTGGCTGGCGTCCGTTTCCCGGATGGCGTGTCATATCAACTATAGCTAGTGAACCTCTGCGCACAAGGGACAGTGCTGCATGCTGTTTACGCTGAGTGGTAGCAGTGAGAAACAAAGGGCTCTCAGGCGCGGTGGGAAAAACTAAACAGTTGAGATCCACATTGAGTGCAGAGAGCTGTTTGGTGGCACTCATACCCATTAGGTGCACCCTGGCTTAGTGTAAGCCAGTGGTCAGATTAGTCTGTATACCGGTGGTCATAGCACCAACCCTAGCGTGGTTGTTGGCTTAACAGCGACTTAATACTCAGTGCAAGAACAAGAGACCTTGCAGACTCGGGTGAGTGGAACTAATACACCATAACGCGACCAGAGCTAACACATTCGCAGTTTCTGGATGTCCAGCTTGTCCACTCGCCAGGTTCAACAGCTCCCGTGATACCATTGCGTTGTGCAAGGTTTAGCTCTCTAGATCGAGTAGAACTGACGAAATCTGTGTGATCCTATTCGGTGTTTCCGCTTCTCACTTCAGGAGATCCGTCAGCTTCTGTTTGCCAGAGTTCCACTTCTTCGTACTCAGCTGGTCATACAGAAACTGATTCGGGATTCTCTTTCTGTTATTTCGATAAATGCGTCCCAGCCATTGTAGATAGTGTGTTGAAGTTCCTGCATCATGCATGCAACACCTTCGTAGATGACGTCTGCTTCACTCCCGTCTCAGCTGTTTGATGCTTGGACTATAGATGGCTTTCAAAGACTCGTTTTTTTACTCTGCGACTTATGTGACCTGAACACTGTTTTCCTCACCATCCATCCTTGATGTGGCTCAGTCAGGAGACTGGATTCTGGATGGCTTGAAGATTGTCAGGAAGGGGACGAATTCCGGTACAACAGCTTGGATTTTCAGATCTCTCCGGCTCACTGACATAAAGCTGCTGTGGTTTGACACACTGAGTCAGTTGGTAAACCTCGTTCAGACAGGCTGTTTGTCCGTCCCACAAGCAATTCCAGCTGTCCCTCCTCCATCGAAACTCTCTCTGGCAAACGATAACGTAATCAAGTCATGACGATGGCAGTTGCTTGGTGATGCGGTGGCAGGATGTCAAGCACCATAAATCAGTAGGCCCAGTAGGCTTTTGCTGCTAGGTAAGGATAAGGCCTCATTTACCAAAAATTTCCGTCCCTTTCATGGTAGTTGTTGATCCTTCAATCAGTGCTTTAGTAAAATTCTCGAGACTTTGATGGATTGGTCACTCTTGCCGCTTATCAGGAAGACGTCCATTGTTGTGATTTTTTTCGAACAAAGCGATAAATTAGGAAGTATTTGGCTAGAAGCACCATGAATAGGATTGATGTTCTTAATCTACCGTTTCATGTCATCTTTCTTAAGGAAAATTAAACAGTCTGCCCCCTCAGATGAAGATGGACTTCGTTCGCTGAATATTCTGATTAGACGTGTCATTATCGCGTATTTTAGATACACTGTCAATTCTTAATTTAACAACTATGGATGGGTTTCCTACCTTCTCTCCGGCATATTATCGAAAAAATACCACTTCGGTACAGCTCCCAAGTTGATCGCATTTGGTAAGTAAATCATTCAGATAACAGTATTGATTAGTACTATATGAAGTTAAGGACAACTTTTCAGCTGTACGAACATACAAGGTTTGGAACCGCGTGGATGCCACTCTGTCGTCATAATGTCACCACATTGGTCTTTGGTCTCAGTGATTTTAATTTGCAAGAAGGGCATCACACCTCAAAACTGATCGTCTTTTATCAATCCTAAGTGTTGTCGCTTGCAATGTGTAAAAAGCGCTCGTAGCTGTTTGGAAATTTGACTCTATACAGCAGCTAAAAATGAACGAAGTAGTTGATCTTAGTGTGGAATGCTAGAAAGAGTTGACCGTTTCTGCTCAGAAAGGAAAGTTTAAAACTCTATTGCAAGGATGTCCTCTAACCTCAGTGAATGTGCTAGGGTTAGCCAATGAAGTCGAAAACATGAACACTTGTTTGAGTTAGCCACGTTATTGTTTGGCCGACCACTTTACCAGTATATGATGTACTTTCAACAAAGTAATATCAATTCTAAAGTAGAGGCCAGCATACTTCTCCAAACACAAGGAAATCACAAAAGGAAATCAGATAAGATAGCAGTGAGTCTGTTTATTGAGTGACTCCAAAGGCGGCAAAAGAAACCAGACGGTGTGGTTGAATAGGCATGGGATATTGTCTGCGGACAACGTTCATGGTAGATGAACGGATATAATAAAGCGTTTTGTTCAATTAGCGATTACTCGTGAAATGGAGGATACGAGCAAGAAAGGGTTTTGCGAGTGCAGGAAGTTGCGTACATCATTTATGGAGTGGTTGGGTTTGAGCAGATCCCTAACAGCTGAATTTATCCAGCCGTTTTCAACCGTTTAAGAGTATTCGGGAAAATTTTTAACTTGGTAAAATTTCTCAGTCTGAGCTTTTTCCAGTGCCTCAGTTATCCATCCAAGTCATGAGGTCTTGCAAAGTGCAGACCGAAAACGTGGTTAAGAAAACCCTAGTGGACAGATACGACTTCTTCTCATTTCAACGGTTACATATATAGTTTGAATGTGTTTTTTCTGTGAGTCCGGAAATTTGGTCATCGTTTAGCTATGTTATGTTTTAATGGATGCATAATTTTCAGTCCTACCCTTTGGCCTTTTAAACCCGTAAATTGATGAATTAATCAGAAAGGCGTTTTCTCTAGACACCATTTGTCGTACCGACTTGTTGCTCCCAACCTGTTTAGCATTACTGGCCCACTAACTGCACT